TATATATATATATATATATATAGCACATGTATGTAATCCAGTTTTCTTAATGAGCAAACATATATATATATATATATATATATATATATATATATGTTTGCTCATTAAGAAAACTGGATTACATACATGTGCTATATATATATATATATATACATGCACAAATATATATACATATATAAGGAATAAAGCTTTGGGCACTGATCTATCCCTGAAAAGGGGCCCTGCTATCAACTTCATTAAGCATCGTTGGAGGCGACTGAATGTATATCTGGCCTTTGCAATGACTCGTGGTGGTCTACTGATTCATCGAGCCAGTGCTGTTCACCTCCCAGACAGGTCTGGTACCAATTTGCCGACCCTGGAGTGATGGAGTGGTGAGTCTGGAGTTCGAGGATCGACCCCATGAGTATTGTAGGTCGCCTCCGACCACTGCATTATGCTTCTGGTCGTTGATTAGTAGGATTCAACCGCAGTTATGTTGAGGTATTTGCAAACTTAGACCCCATGCCAAATAATGGGTAGTAAATAAAAAGTTAAACATTGATTAGTAAATGATTCACGTTTTGTGAGGTAAAAATACGGCGACGTTCATTGTTGCGAATGTCCCACAATCGGCGTAGGTAAAACAGCTGTGCTGCATAAATTGTTTTCACTGATAGTTTCCATCTATTTTTCCACTGTATGCTAGAAAACGTGTTTGTCTAGTGACGTGATTCTTCATCGGTCCGTTATCCAAATTTTATTCCTTACCATCTCAATGGATCATATCACATGCTGTTATATAGATAGCTCCCAACGGGCGAACTTTTTTCATCGATCATCGCACAAAAACCACTACCTGGTTGGATCCACGTACAGGAATAGCAGCAAGCAGACCGCAGTCCGGAAAGACGGATGACGAAATCGGCGCCTTACCAGAGGGATGGGAGCAGAGAGTTAGTTGCCCATCACTTTATTGCGATGCATGTGAAAATATTTAAGTTTCAGGTTCATACCGACGGCCGAGTGTTTTTCATTGACCACAATAATAGAAGAACTCAGTGGGAGGTTAGTATTTGCTCACTAATTCAAACAGACACCACCAGTTTTTGAACGCTGTGGTTCCTTTTGCCATCTCATATACTCTCACTTACTGTCAAGCTATTCTCATCACGAATGTAATCGCTGTTTCATGTTTATTAGCAGAATTTTTCAGTGTTCTGATAAGAAACCTTGGTTCGAAACCATTAGTGTTTGTATCTACATAACTTTGTGTCAGCAGCATTGCTTTTAGGATCCACGCTTCGAAAACGAAAGCATTGCCGGTCCAGCGATACCGTATTCCCGAGACTATAAACGAAAGGTTACTAATCATCTAGCTATTGATTGACACTTGATATATAATATTTGGGCAGCCCGTATTCATGAAAAAAAAAACTTGCGAACCATGGCACAGTTTTCACTTAATTGATATATTGAGGTGGTTGGATAGGCTTCGTTTTCTCGGAGTCGCGAGCAGGCCATGCAGAGCCATTCCTAAGTGCCTTTTTTGCAATTAATGTATTGGCATCATAGAACGTAGAGTGTTTTTCGTATTGGCTTTTTCTCACAAAAGTCCGTTGACGAAATTTTTTGAAATTTCATCGAGAATTTCGTTGTCGCAATATGTCGTTTTAAACCTAGCGTTTCTGTTTTTCTTTCTGATGTTTCATGAATCGTGCCAACGGTTTATCGCCTCATTATGGCAGGGAGGTGTTCCTGGGTGTAGGGCTACGATGCACAGCGGGGAATTTGTCCCACAGACAGGGTCTCTCAAGCTTAGAAGGACTCCAGCGTTTCCACCAGGAAGCCCAGTTAAGAGTAAACCACTACGAGGATCCACCACCGCCCTGGTGTGGAGCTAGTCGCATGGTGGTAAATCTCCTTCTGATCCACAAAGGCAACAGCTGCTTGTGGTGGTGACGACCTGTGGCAGATCGTGGCCAGACTGAACTCGGGACTGTAAGGAACCGCAGTGGCAAGACTAGCAAAACTCTGATGAAACGGAAATTATGCTGTGACCTGCATAACCAGTGAGGACAAGCCATCCAAGGAAGTAAGTGTCTGGGGTAGGGAACGAACGCGTTAGTGTCCTTTCCGGGGAGTAACGCGTTCACCACCACACCATGCGGGTCCTTAGTTTCACCTGTCTCATAGCTAGTTCTATCGATCAACACCATCAGCACTCACTCGTCAGCAGTATTGATCTAGGAAGCCCAAATCGGCAACGAATTATAATGAATAGAACTAGCTGAGAGACAGGCGAAACGAAGAACTCACATGGCGTGGTGGTGAACGCATTAGCCCTCGGAAAGAACAATATCGCGTTCGTTCCCCACCCCAGACACCTGCGGTGCAGAGTTTTGCAAATATCTCAGCACAATTGAAAGCCAATTTTTAGAATATGTTTTAACAGCCAGTAACATACAAACTCGGACTCACAGTGGTTCACATTATCTAAAAACTTTTTTTCAAATGAGGGTTCGATTATGTCTCCTGGTGAGCTATGTCTTCTATCTGAAGTTGACATTCGTTCATCTCGAAGAAATATAATCGACCATTGGCAATCTGTATGGCACATGTAAAGATTGTACTGCTGGTGTTGAATGGTGTAACGAAAGAGACGAAAACAAGCCAAATAAGTTGTAAAACCGTTAATTATATTCATATCATTTGTTGGCTTAGGTAAATGTGCATAAGGTTTCGAAATTTGAGAGGTAAAGATTTTTCAGTTTACTTAGTATTTAAGCAGAAAAGCTATTCGAAGATTATTCATGGAAAGTTCTAGACATTCGTTAGAAGAGAAGGTGCTAAAATCATTGTATGATGTTTATTTACATCCTACTAGATGGATGATAAAATGGCTAAGCTGGAAGCTGAAAACGATACAGTGTTGAATGAACCATAAATTGCCAACGAAAGTTATTCATGGTAGTGCTTGATTTGGAAAGAAGTTTGGAGATTGTCGAATAGCTAGAATTTATTATTCAGGAATGCTCCCACGATTAGTTGTCGTACTATTTCTGTTAAGAATAAATGGTTACCTTTACCGGTTCTCTTTTTGGTTAGTAACAGATTTGCCTATATTGGTGGATTTTACCGGAATGGATTTAGGTTGAGTATTTGCATTCGAAGCTACCGCGTGCGGGTTCAAATGGCAAATGTGATATGATTGTACATAGGGAAACCCTTTTCGAGGATTCCTACCGCCATATCATGGAGAAAGTACGTTTTTTCTAAGGCGGAGTTGCTTGTAGTTGAATGCGTGCAGTTCGAATTTATAGACACCGTCCGAACTACGTCATAAACTATGGATTGAATTTTTTGGCGAGACAGGACTCGACTATGGTGGTGTAACACGTGAATGGTTCTTCTTGCTGTCCCATGAGATCTTCAATCCTTACTACGGTCTCTTTGAATACTCTGCAACGTGTGTACTTTTTCTTCTGTTTTCTGTTCTACCTTAAATCTATTTCTTTCAGAGTTTTTGTCAATATGGCACGTGTTTTCATTAACACTAGATCAGGAACATCTTGGATTTTTGTAGCTACTAACACCTTTCAGCCTATGATTGTTTGACGTCTGTAGTTTGCTGAGAGTATCTTAAAAAGTAGACTAGGTTGCAGAAAAGAGGCTTAAGAGTAAAAAATGGTGCAGAGAACAAATATCCCACCAAGTAGTAACATGTAACAGTATGAAGTTAATGATTCTAAACACGCATCTCAGCTCATTCTGAGCGTTGCTAGTTGAAATAAAAAGCATTAGAATCAGTAGATCTTAGCCAACAAGGTGTAAGGTTCATTGTTCTGACAAGGTAGGATTTTAAAGCTAATGGGGCACCTTTGTATCTTTTTCTTTGGGTCTCGCATGGTTTCGTCGAGCAGGACTTGACAGTATATCTGAACGTGTCGCTGATGTTGGTGGTCGCTTCATTGATATTGGAAATTGTTTAGAAAACTTCTCACTTTCTTAACATTACAATGGGCTTGTAACAAGGCTATTAAGAAAACCCGACATCGATTATGTATATAGATATCCTACTAGAGCGGTAGACAAATTATCTCTTATTGTGAGTTCGGCAATTCTTTAAGTTCTCTATTTATTGAAAAACTATAGCCGTCAAAAAATCTGTTTTACAGGTTTTTGTGTTTATGGAAATTCTGCGAATGTAAATTATTTTATTTCTCAATTTCAGAGATAACTATACACTTCAAATCAATCCACATTCGGGTGCGTGCAATCCTGATCATCTTTCGTATTTCTACTTTATCGGAAAGGTGATGGGAATGGCAATTTATCATGGGAAGTTACTAGATGGTTTGTTTATACTTCACCCTATCGTATTGACTTAGAAGATATTTTTTTATGGTCGATATGATTTTGCAGCATTTTTCATTCGACCATTTTACAAAATGATGCTTGGAAAGAAAATTACATTGTTTGACATGGAGTCTGTTGACAACGCCTATTATAACTCTCTAATCTACATAAAGGACAACGATCCCGAAGATCTCGAGCTCACTTTTGCCGTCGACGATTGTGTGTTTGGTGAGGTAGGAAGATTCATCTTGTACAGAGTAATAATTTTAGTCAATTTCATAGTTTTACTGACAGGGAACGTTCTCGGATAGGAGGATAAGGATTCTCGAGCAAATCGTAAACTAACATGTTTGCAACCACATCATCGTGGACCTTTTGACCATAGAAACGTTTTCAGATTTTATGAAAAGGTCGACGGTGTAAATCTCGCGAGGGAAAATTATTCAGTTTACAGTTTAAACGTATAGAAAATGAAAGCGGTTTAAAACGTAGAAATCTGAAGAGATAATCTACAGCTCAGCAAGAGTACCAGGAGAACGAATAGCTGGTTGCTAAGTATCATGGTTGCGTCAAACGAGGATAAAGTTGTTTACACTTAACATTTCAAGCTTTTCACTTGGACGCTTGGTCGGCCATTCCTCATTGGTTGTACAGGCCTCAGCATAATCTCCATTTTTTGAAGTTTTGCTGGTTTAGTCATTGTGGCTTCCTGAAGTCACGAGTTCAGCCTAGCCAAAGTATGCTTCAGGTCGTCACCGCTACAGGTAGTCGCCGCCCTTGTGGATCAAAGGAAGATTTGCCACCATGCGACTAGTTTGATACCAGGACGATGGTGGATCTTGGTATTGGTTTACTCTTAGCTAGGCTTCCTGATGGAAACGGCGGACTCCTTTTCAGCTTAGGAAACCCTGCCGGGGATGAATTCCCCCGTTGTACATCGCAGTCCGAGACCCAGAAACACCTCTCAGGCACGATGAGGCGGTAAACCGTTGGGAGGAAGCTGTTCAAGTAAGTATAACACAGCATCTACTGAATTCCTCACTGCTAACTATAGGATGGTAGAGAGATAGGGCAGGCATAATTTTTTATATAGCGAGTTGTCGAAATATACCTAGTGTTAAGCACGGAGGGCTGAGTATTTTCTATATTTCGTTCGGACCTCGATTTTCAAGTCGCATTTCAACTTTGTATTCATTTTCGATGAACAAAAGACGCTTTCCAGGTCTTTTCCAGTCGAGTAGTAGACATGACTCTTCCTACATTTTACTCATTCACGTATTTTTCACCTAATTATCAACGAGTGTTAAAATATGGATAATGGTGTCGCAAGCAAGTACCATGTGGAGGCAAGACCAGTGCCATGTCTATCTTCTGGTTGCAAAGGAGTGCGAAGATCTATGAAGTGAATTCTGTTTTCGTATAGGTCTGCTAGACTATTACGATTGTACGGCTTTCGAAACCGGATGTGTACGACTGTTCAGCAAGATCGCAAACGGCCAACTTGATTTACACTAAATGGTCGGGAGACATTCATAGTGGTGTTGATTTTATGCACTTGTGGGGCGTTCATTCCGGTAATATTCGAATGGGCATGTTTTAAATTGTTGGGCTTACACAAGGTTGATTAACAACTTCTATTCGGCTGACGTTTCGACATCTTCGTCTTCATCAGAGCGTAGTTGTTCACCAACCTCTTGTAAGGTCAACAATTTAAAACGTTTTGGTTATTTTACTGCCGAGGTTAGGTGACGATCGGTTTGAAAATGTTTCGAATGTTGTGAGTTATTTTAGTAATATTTCTCCCTCGCGAAAGTTACTATTTATTGCGAAATGTAAATAAAGTGAAAGGTACGGAAGTTCACACTGAAAGTGGAACAAAAAAGTGACAATAGAAATTCGGATACAAACACTGGACATAATGTATCCAACTTGGAAAACCTATGGAATAGTGCAGACTTAGTACTTATAACATTTAATGCGATCGAAGGGTTGAAATAATTGTGTTTAAGCTTCTTTTTTGAGCCAATACGTATACGAAGTTCAGTTGGCTTTAAAGATGAGATGAAATACGCAGTTGTGTGAAACGTCGGACTGTGCAGTTATCACTTCACTTATGGTTCTCATGAGTAGTCTAAGAGAATCTTAGTGTTACATCTGAGTCGTGATCCTCATGGCCCGATCCAAGTGTTTAGATCAACCTCGTTGTTCCCTAGTTTCTGAAATTGCTAATCTTACTTCAGTATAACGATATCTTACTTTTTATAAGTCGTACACTTCACGTGACAAGTTTTCATTGACTCATGTATCGTCGCAGTTAGAAATATGTGTGCACTCTGTCGGTTAGAAGCTCTCTCTGCTTGCTGTTTATTAAGAGAGCACTTTGTAGCTTCACAGTTATGAGCAACTCTGACTGGCTTTCTTTTTCGCTAGTTACACTAGCTTTAATGAGGTTAATAGACGATGTCTATTCATTTAAATACATATGTCATCCGCTCCATTCAAAAATTCAGCCTATTTTTAACATCGTTCTAAGATTTCCAGCATTTTACCTCGTCACCTTTGCTTTGAGCCTTGTTATGTTCTACTTATAGACATTTCTCCGAGCACAACATAGTTTCTAAACTTTCTACAATATTCAAAGTATTCTTCGTTTGTTACCCGATCACCTTCTATTTCAGACGCAAACTATCGAATTGGTAGAAAATGGTCGTGAAATGCGTGTGACAGAGGCCAACAAAGAGGAGTACATTGAGGCAGTCGTCAACTGGCGTTTCGTGAAAAGAGTCGAAGCGCAAATGGAACAGATACTTCGAGGATTACATGAGGTACACCATAAATATAAATGTTGTGTGACTAATAAGTCAGATTTTAATGTATTCCTAACGATGCCAGCTTTTACAACTGCTTATGTTTTTTTTTCTCGAGAACTAAGACACACGAGAAGTTGAAAACTTGTTGGACTGAATAGAAGAGACCGTTCGGTCTAAGTGAATCAACAGTGTTTACAAAATGGTAATTTCAAACTTCGTGAAAGCTGTATTCCTCGAAAAACTAACTAGGAATTTAAATTTTTCTATTTTCTATCGCAAATAAGGGGACAAATGTTGACGAAAATTTTTACAACTGCGAAAACTACCGTCATGTCGCGTATTAGAGGAAATCCTGCACATTTAATGTTCAAGATAGAAGCCTTGATGAAAAAAGAAACAATTTCAGCTTTGTGGGGTAGGAAAATTTGTCTATTTGCCGATTATGCTTTCCAGATCATTCCCGTTGACGAGTGATTGCTGATGGCATGGTTAGGTAGAAAACCGACCCAGAGAAAGTAAAAGCAAAGGCCTCAGTGGTGCAGCAGGTAACACGTGGCCTCCTGGAAAGAGTAGTCGCAGGTTCGAATCTGAACTGCGGTCCAGGTTTTGCAAATATCTCGACATCATACGATACGAATAGGAAAACTTTCATCTTATTCTCAAAGCTCCAAAGTTCTATAGACTCGGCTGGCGTTTATTTCAATAATAAGGTTTGATAATATTCGCCATGAATTGGGATATTTTCGGCTAACAAATTGGCAACGATTTGCATTGATTTAAACGCGCGTATCCTATAAAAGAATCCCGCCTTTGAAGTTTGAACAAACATTTGTCGGCTCGTAGTCAATTTCATCAGTCGAAATACTTGATATCTGATACTTGAATAGCTCGTCCTCACTGGTTGTGCGGACACCAGCATAATATCCATTTTTCGGAGATTTGTTGTTTAAGCCATTATGGTACCTTGGAGTCCCGAGGTTAGCATGGCCAAAACCTGCCACAGGTCTTCACCACCACAGGCAGTCGCAGGCCTTGTGGATCAGAGGGAGATTTACCACCATGCGACTTTGATACCAGGACGGTGGTGGATCAAAGTATTGGTTTACTCTTAGCTAGGGTTCCTCATGGAAACGCCCGACTCGGCTTGGGAGACCCTGCCAGGGGTGAATTCCTCCTCCGCTGTACATCGCAGTCCGACACCCAGGAACACCTCCCAGCCACGATGAGGCGGTAAACCGTTGGGAGGACCAATTGAAATAAAAAAAATTCCAGAAGACCCTATACGTGTTTGCCAACAGAGTAGAATGCTTTTTTCATTATTTATCACGAAGGATTTCTGGTTTTCTGTACACTACGAATCTTTTTCGTTTTTCTTCTTCTTTGATGCGACATTGTCTATGAATATGTCGTTGTTTGTGATTGCCACGATATTAAAACCATAGGAATTTGGTCGTTTTCAATTTTTAATATGTCGTTATTAAACAAATTTAAAGTGGAATTTGTATTATAAAAATTATACGTATCCTTAGAGCCATTAGGTCTCTTCCATAAGTCTCTTAACTCTGAAGGCTTTGAAATGCTCCAATTGTCAAGAGTTTATTGGCAATTATCGAAAAGTCTGCATCAGAGCCGAATGTGTTAGAAAAGCCAGGATTTGGGAAGCTGTAGAACTACAAACATATATTGGTCTTCAAATGTTTTTGTTCCTCATCTTTACATCAGTCGATAGTAAAGAAACGGTGGCGAAATATCTGGACATTCCTAATTATTTTCATGAAAGAACTAATCTGGGTCTGCTTGTGTTGTCTATATCTGAAGAGTGATCATAGGACTCTTCCACGTTCTCAGAGCATTTTTTGTGTTATTGGTGGTATTTACTAGGCTCAAAATTCTACAGGTGGTGCCGAGTAATTTGCTTCGAATATTCGATGCCAACGAAATGGAATTACTTATGTGTGGACTGCAGAAGATTGATGTTAAGGACTGGAAAGCACACACGGTTTACAAAGGTGGATATGGACCAAGTAGTCAGGTACAGTGAATATGCTTACGGCGTAACGCAGTTAACCATCCCCAATTCTGTTAGTATTTCCGAAAGCCCATTATTTTAAGGTGATTCATAATTTCTGGAAGTGCATTCTTTCATTCGATAACGAAATGCGCGCTCGGGTGTTGCAGTTTGTGTCAGGAACGTCGCGGGTACCTATGAATGGATTTCGAGAGCTATACGGTGAGTCGTTGTTCTACCTACAGTGTCTTGTTTACTAAGGATTAAGCTACAGTTGAATCAATTGATTAATGAAGTCCCTTGTACTTTGTTGTTACGTTCTTTGACACATTACGTTTAATATGCAATGTTTTCAATGCATTTGCTGCGAGAGCAGCCGCTGCTTCCAAATGTTGATCACCATCCCAGTCCATATAGGGACCCTATTGATTATAAGGACTACATGGATCGATATATCTTTTTCTATAGGATATACAGCTTTTCTACTGTACTAAGATAAAATTCTGATGTTCTAAAGACAACGTTTCTTTCACCATTTCCTCTCAACGCTCGACTTCCAAACACGAAAGCAACTGAACAAGCGGAATTTCGTATAAAGGACACGGTAATGCTACTCAGTTTATCGTTGTCTGCCACTGACTTGATTTTTCATTTATTTCTACACGACCCAAGTCCACATCTACTGTGCGGATGCCAACACTTCTTGGATTCGATTCGTTTCTCCGAATCCATTATCCACAAGGGTCTTCGAACATTTCGTGTGTGCCCTCTGCTTTAAAATTTCGTTTTCTTTATGAATGTCGTTGAATGCTGGTCGAGTCGATTCTCCCTGAAGTCTTTGAATAGCAGAGTTAGAGCGTTCCCACTTGAGTTGCAGGTAGTGAACTGTTTCCAGGCAGTTCCAGCATCAATTTCTCGATCCCAGAGAGATGAAGTGCTTGGTAAGCACAGAATGGGGCCGAACCAGCACCGTGCTCGTGGTGATTGGCATCATTACCAGTGCGCTACCAGCTTTCTGTTCACCTGATTTCCTTGGAACTTCTAAAAATGCAGATTTCATTTTCGTTTTATCGAGAATTCTAATTCTAAATATGTGTAAAATTAGAAGAATATGTTCTAAGAACCGCATATATACTTAATGAGATAGAATGAAGCCTCATCAGTATATTTGTGGAATTCATGTACTTCATAAGATCAAGAAGTCCTCGTCAGTTGTTGCAATACCAAGTTTGGGTGTTGTGTACTTGTTTGCTTCAAGCTAAAAACCTTACATCTAAACCATAATTCTCATAGATTTCCTGTGAGGTTGCTTTTGAGGAAACGTTTGACGTTGTTCTTTTGCTGATTGTAAATACTTGGAGACTCGAACGTCTGATGTTGAAAAAGAACCGTGCGGACGCCATTACAGTTTTCGTTTGGTATTTTGCTAGTTAGGAAAGTTTCTTCGCAATACTGAGTCGTAGCAGGGCATCGTCGGTAGTCGCTGGCTCTGTGAATCCCAGCTAGTCCTACTGGACTTGTCTTGCTCGATGATATCTGGCGTTTTATAGGCAGATTTATACGTGGAAATCTCGAACTCATTCCAAAATCAAGGTGTACAAGTGCTCTTTGGTTAGCTACGGTCTTCAAGATGATCAAAGAACTAGTGTTCTTTTAGGTGTAAGGTATACAACTTTAACAAATTGTTTCTTATAGGTTCTAATGGTCCACAGAAATTCACCATAGAGAAGTGGGGTAGTTCGGATATGCTTCCTCGTGCTCATACATGGTAAGGTAAAATGCTGTTTTGTAGTGTTTATAATGTTATTTATCCATTTTTCAGTTTCAATCGACTCGACCTACCACCATATCAGACATTTTCCGAACTGAAGCAGAAGTTGTGCATAGCTATTGAGAACTCTGAAATCTTTAGCGGTGTTGACTAGACTGTCGGTCCGCTCCTTTATCGAAACGATCGATAGGGACATAGATCGAAGACGGTTCCTACTACTGCGAGTGCTGATGTACAGGATGTCTACACTCATTAATGAATATTTACGTGGTACCATACTTGTGATGAAAAATAAAGTTAGTCTAATTTTGAAGATTTTGGAAGGAATGTCCAACATCCATCGCTCTTAACAGTATTAAGAAACATTTTTTTCCTTTTCTATTCATAGCTCAGAAGTAGCTATATATTCCAAGTTCTGGACGGTAAAATGAGGTATATATAACGCTATGAGGAATTACTTGCTGACAGCGGTATCACGTGGTATAGATGTCATAAACGGCAATTCACATTTCTAAACTCTATAATGAAGCACGTCTCCCAACGGTTTACCTCCTCATCGTGGCTAGGTGTTCATGGGTGTCGGCTTGTTATGTACAGCGTGGGATTCATCCCCCAGCATGGTCTCCCAAGCCGGGAAGGAATCCGGGGTTTCCATCACTAAGCCTAGCTAAACGTAAACGAATACCAGCATCCACCACCGCCCTGGTATCAAACTAGTCGCATTGGTGGTAAATCTTTCTCTGATCCACAAGGGCGGCAACTGCATGTGGTGGTGACGACCTGAGGCAAACTTTGGCTAGGCTAACCTTAGGACGCCAGGGAATCACAATAACTAAGCCAGGAAAACTCCGAAAAAAACTGGATTTATGCAAGGGCCTGCACAACCAGTGATGATGGGCCATCTAACTATCCAAGTAAGTGTAATGAAGGACGACACTATTTGTTGTAATGGAACAAGATTTTATGACAGAATTACATGCAAAACATACAAAAATACAACATTTAAATTACAAGAAGTGTTTGTTCACACATATGTGGTCATAGGTTACAGTGTAAACTAATATCAATCAACATGACAAAAACATCTACAGATCTCCAATGTAACACGGCAGAAAATATTATGACAGTTCCATTTAGAAGTTGAAGAGAATCAGAAGATTTTGTTTATAAATCTTCGTGCACTATCAGAAATATTGCGTGTATTTTGGGACATTTTTTTTTGATTTCTCATTTAAAAAAGTAGCACTGCACAGGAATTGCAAAGAACAGAAGGAAACTAGGTTTTTTCTGAAACCAAAGCTTCCACGATAGACACGTTTCATACACAGGTGGACGGAATTGAGTAGAAGTAAAATCAAATCCAAATCCCACTTTTGAAGAGAAATGAGTTAAATTTCGACCATACAAAGAAATCATCTCAGTAATGAAAGGGGAAATACGGCTGAAAAATGAAGAGAAGAATAAAGAGAATGATCAGGTTTAAATGGAAGGAGTAAGCAGAATAAGACACAAAGCTCACCAAATGGCAGCGTGATTCCAGCCATACAGTTTGCATTTACGAAAAGTGTGCATTTATGCTGCATATAATAATGGAGATACCTGCGAAATATTACATGTACAAGTAAATCTTGCCTACAAACAAGGAAAAGTAAGTGAATGAATTCAAAACCTGGGATTTAGAAGCTGCGATGTACTCTTTAACTGAAGCATCGCGTATATAAACAGTTGAATTGATGATTGAAAATTTGAAACAAACTTTAACATCAACAAAAGAAACAACAGTCTCAACAAGTAACAACAATAAGCATCTATTAAAAGCTATCCACAAAGCAAATCTCTTATAAATAAAAACACTGCTGGCACATGTAGTCCACGTCGCTTTGTCAACATATTATGTCAACTACCAGTGGTGGGATGACTCAATAAACCAAACATACCATTCAAAGATGTACCAAAGAATAGTTATGAGTGTTCCCTGAATAATTAACTTTATCTCAGTTAAATCTAGAAGACAGAGACTGAACTGTATACTTAACTAGTAATCGCCTTGAGATTAGGTCACCTTCGAAAAAATGATCAACCGAACTGAGCGATCTATGAAATGATGGCAAAAATTTGTAATTCTTTACTTAGAAAGTACGCAATCGACTTTAACACAAATAGAGTGGAGCACCAATGTTAAAAACGATAAAACTATCGGCGTTAGTCAATCTGTGTGGGACACGCCATACATTCGACTTTATTGAGCACTGTTGGAGGTGACTGAATGCGTATCTGGGCTTTACAATGACTCGCCATGGCCTACGAATGTATCGAATCAGTGCTAGTATCCTCCTAGACAAGTCTGGTACCAACTTGCCAACGGCGAAAGTGGATAGAACGCTTGATGAACCTTGGGCGCGGGAATCGATCGCATGTGAACTGCAGGGCGCCTCCGACCACTGCGCTACACGTGCCCCGATGTTGTTTTCAGAAATCGTGTAGGTCTAATTTATAGAGAGTATAGAGAATAGTCTTTTTACTTACCACAGCACAACTGTTTCCGAAATAATCCAATGTACGATGCTCAGCAAAATATGCATTGATCGTTTCAGTTTCCTAAAATCTGTGAAATCAAGCTACCTTGAAGACCAGTGACAGAAACTAGATAAACACAACAGCTAGATCTATCCAATTTGCATAATGTTTACTAAGTATTGTAGGAAATTCGTAGAAAGCCGATTTATCCCAGTGGATTTATTTACGCTTCAAAAAAACTATAGAACTTAAGAATATTGAAAGAAAAGTAGATACACACTGGTGGCATGTCTATATGAGTGGAAGCATCCTGGAATGACTTCGCCTTCAGATCCATTTTTGCAGAATACGTTTCCTTCGATTTGAAAATTCTCGATTGTGACAGACCCTTGAAAGATCCTAGATCCTCATTTCCATTCCCAATGAGGTAATTACTATTACAATTCTGGAACAACAGCATAACATCATAAACAAAAATCACTTACTTAATAAAAAACATAAGCATTATGAAGTATTTTGAAACAGAACCTTCTTCGAAGAAGACCGAAGTGATACTCTGCTGTCGTTCCATAGATTTGCTCTGCTGTTCTCCAGAACAAGTACTTGAGTCCGCGAAAAAACCGAACAACTGCATGGACCGACTGAATGAAATGATATACGAATTTGAGAAATTCTTTACATTTAGAACAAGGCCCTCACATAGACAGAGCTTACGACAAGTTGACGAAGGGCAACGAGCCTTCGCATTCAGTTGCGGTTTCACCTGGAAGTTCTCGTGGATAAGACAGATTCATGAAACACAACTACAATGATACTGAGATATTTGCAAAACTCCGGCCGGCAGGTATCTGCGGTGGGGATCAAGCACGCTATTACCCTTTCCGGGAGCTAACGCGTTCATCACCACGCCATGTGGGTCCTTTGTTTCGCCTTTCTCTCAGCCAGTTCTGCCTAATTATGAAATACGAGACGGAATACTATACCTACCATAACAGGCGAAACGTTGTAGATGACAGAACATTCTGAATCCCTCATAGTAGTTGGTCCAGCCACAAGCCACTCCTAAATGCTACAAGTAAAACTTTAATCAAACCAAGGACGAGAAAACCTTCAGTACTGACTAAACGAAAAACATTCACCATAAGTAATGCAAGACATATTATGAGCCAACAGAGAAAACGTAGATAACAGATTTTTGAGAAGAAAGAACCTCTTGGAAGAAACGCAACGGAGAAAATCCAGCGGAAGAGTAATTGGAAGAGTTTTTTGTTCTGATCAAAGAAAAATAAGCATCCATTACTAATGCATATGCGTTTAACTTCCTTGGAGTTTCACCGATCGTCACGAATAAGCACTTATACAGAAGGTATCGATCACTTGCTCATAATGTATCTTATATCGACCATATCGATTCACAGAATCACTAATTTTACAAAATGAGATGAGAAAATACCATATGAACGATTTCCTAGAACGATGGTGATGAGATCCAACTTCGTTTGGCAGCCGGTTGCGACGCCTAAGTATACTTCGATTGCGGACTCGAGACAACTCGTCCGACATCCAACCACTGCCGTCTACATCTGGTAACCTGTTTCGCAACATTTGCTGAGTATAAAAAATAAAAGGGAAAGCTATCGGGTTTGGTCAGTCTTTTTGAGAAACGCCATGCATTCACCTCCATTCGTACTTACGCAGAGGTGATTGAAGTCACATCTGACCTACACAATAGCTTCCGGTTGCCCACGGGTATATCAAGTCAATGCTGTTATCCTTCCAAACACGTCTGATATCAATTTGCCGACTCTGAAATGGTGGAGGAAATCGGTGAGAACTGGGTGTAGAACCGAACCAGCGACCAGGTGTGCATCGTAGGGCGCCTTTAGCCGCTGTGCTACACGCAACCTTAGTTGTGTGAGCTTCTGTGTTTTTATACTCGTTTATTTCGCACATTAATCACAGTGAGGGCATCGGTACAATACTGTCGTCGTAACACCTACTGGAAATACTGGAGGCATCCGTAATCTAAATGAAATCTAAATTTTTACACAAGAAGGAACTTACCTGAATGTTTGAGTAATTCATCTCTTTGAAGAATTTTGTGGACGCCACCAAGTTTTTCACTTACAACTTCCTTATCAAGTAAGATCTTCCTTCTCTAAAATCTCAAGATGATTGTGCTAGATGTTTCTTACGTTAGCCTTCGGAATGGAAATGCAGGACTCGTGGTTAGCTCGGGAGATCCCGGATGAAGGTAAGCCCTTTATGGATAATGGGGCACAGCTCAAAATCCAGTAAGCAGAAAGGCTGGAAGAAAAAAAACTTGAAGGAACTGGATAAAGACCAGTTCGGTCGGTTACCTAACAAATAATTTATTGGGTTGCTCCGAAATTAATGTTGATTTTATAATTTCATCTTTCATGTAGATGCGTTTAGCTTTTTTCCAAATGCTCTGCTATTATCTTTCATTACAAAGTTCATTTCATGCAATTTCGTTTTGTATAATTTGATTATAGTACGAACTGTGTTTTTGAGAAATTTTAATGTGTGGAATTCCACATGCAACAGGGAACGCACAGTGTAATGGTACTGATGTCGATCATTACGAGCACAGCGATGGTTCGACCGCGCTACGTG